CTTAGTGAGATTTTCGGGGTAAATTCCGATGTTTAGCGTATGTGTTTGATTTGTGGTTTTCAGAGCTGCGCTGGAGGTTCAGTCGATTCAGTAGAGGATCGATCACCGCCAAGAAGAAGAGAGTTACCAGAAAAGAAACCTGCAAGAAAAGCTCCACCTCCAGCTGCCAGGCCACCACAGCGTCAATCTCAGCCACAACATCAGCCACAACGTGCACCTCAACGTCAACAGCAGCAGCGTCAACCTCAACGTCAACAGCAGCAACAAAACCGCCAAATCAAAAGGCCAGGACAACAGCAAGTGAACAAGAAAAAAGTTGCTCAACAGGTATCATGAACCATTCAGAGGATCCCCGAGATTCAATTGCTAAGAGACTATCACCATAGTGCCGTGTCAGTAGCCGAAAAGACTGCTTCAAGTATAGCGCACTCGCCCGGAAAGCGTGAGGTGCGGGTTCGACTCCCGCCTGGGGCACGACTTTTGCCCACAACTCAGCATTCTTGTGATAACATTCGGAACGCGTACTGCGGCGTTAAACAGCAGTTATCATAACAAAACTGCTTCAAGTCTCAAAATAGTCCACCTGCGACTTCCTTGCATTTTGGCATGATATTCTTCTCCTATTTCTTCAAGCCGGTACAAAATTAATGGTTTTATTAGGCCTACGTTCGGCGTCCTCGTCTTCTTCAGAGCCTGAAAAGGACAAAAAACTGATGTGACTTGCTCGCCTAAGCGCTTACAAGGTCGAGAAAGAGCGCCAGATCACGGGTTGTCCCACACACTTCTCCTTTCTATTCATCTGAGGGTCCTTTGCGGTAATCCAGAATGCCTCCAATGTCTTACGCGCTGTGATCTCACCTTCCTGCGCTAATATGGTCACCGACACGTCTAGATGGTCGAGATGGTAATAAGTAATAGTTACTTCACGCTTCAGTGATCCCCAGGGTGGTCGATAGCGCATCTGATCAAGGTGAGCCATAAATTTATCCATCGATATCGTTGGATATCGATATCTTCACAGTCTAGGGAAAGTGTCTTGAGGTTGTTGAGACGCTTGAGCGGGGAAGTCACATCTGTTTATCTCACGGAATTGCAGTACAGGTGTAGGCGAAGATCCCCACTTCTTGGTCACAATCGTTTCTTCATATATTCAGTAGCGAACACAAGAATATGAGCAAAGAAAAAACGACATGTGAACAAATCTCGTATTATTTTGTTGTATTCCTAGCACGTTGTCAGCAACTAGGGAAGCATTCAGACTTCGCGACAGCGCGCCGACGCGCTGTATCGCGCTGTTAGGCTCGAAAACGCGCTGTAATGAGCTGTAACGCAAG